TCCCTATGAGGGTGTGTGAGTTTTGTGTGAGAATTGTGTGCGCGGGGGGTGTGAGAATTCTGTGAGCGGGACCTGAGAGCGGGGCCGTGGGGCCTTCCCGGCAGGGCCGTGGGCCCCCCCCACTCTCAGGTCCCGCTCACAGAAATCTCAAACCCCCCGCTCACAGGCCCGAATCCACCAATCCCTATGAGGGTGTGTGAGTTTTCTGTGAGAATTCTGTGAGAATTCTGTGAGTTTTCTGTGAGAATTATGCCTATGAGGGTGTGTGAGTTTTGTGTGAGAATTCTGTGAGCGGGGGTGTGAGAATTCTGTGAGCGACCTGACAGCGCGGGGGCCCCACGGCCCTGCCGGCGCGGGGGGGGGGCCGCTCTCAGCTCCCGCTCTCAGGTCCCGCTCACAGAATTCTCACACGTGGGGGGCCTCACGGCCCCGTTATCGGGACCTGGGCCGTGGTGGGCCCCGCTGGCCCAGCCCCCCGACCGCAGGCCCCCTGTCAGTGGATTTGGGCCTGGGAGAGGGAGCGGGAGGGGTGTAGATGTGTGAGTGGGTAGTGAGAATTGTTTCCAGGCCGAGGTTGGGGCGGCTCTGCGTGGTCACAAGGTCGCTCACAGAATTCTCACAAGGTCGCTCACAGACTTCTGCCCACTCACAGGTGCCGCTCACAGAATTCTCACAGGTACCGCTCACAGAATTCTCACAGACCTGTCCCCCCCTCACAGGTACCGCTCGCAGAATCGCTCACAGAAAACTCACACAGGAATCACAGAATAATACATTCGAGCGATCCCAGAGCTTGCAAGGCACTGCAACTCTTAACTTTAGAGAGGCCGAAACTCTAAGGCCGAAGCCCGAAGGCTGAAACCCTAAGGCCGAAACCCTGAGGCCGAAATCCTAAGGCCTGAACGGGTCGCTATTAGGGTTCCGTATGGCTTTACGGTTTCTCGAATAGAGGACTCTCGAGTTCCCTTAAAGGCCCCCTTAAAGGATCCTATACGGGTTCCTTGTAAAGGTAAGTTTAGGGCTTAGGCGGTTTAGGTCAACGATAAGTTTGGGACTGTGCTTCGTGCCTTTTCTTGCGGAAGCTGAGGGAGGACAGGCAACACAGTGAGGGCTTCTGATCTTGACGATGCGTATGTTCTGTCATATCGGCCCGGCCGGCGACATGTTGCGATGCTCAAGCAAAACTTGCTTGGCCCAAAAACCACAGGTCTAAAACTTGCTTCCTCTTTTACAGGGAATTTCCTGTGAGGAGGCTTCGTGGGCAGAGCTAACCTAAAAGGCCGTTTCAGGCCAACATAGGTTTCTGTTTGGATTTTGGATTCCGGGTTACACGCTGGTGTCTGCTTGGGTTTTGGATTCCGGGATATACGGTCCAGGGCTCGGTCGGACATTCGTCAATCAGAATCAGCATCAGCCATCAGGAATTATATGCTTGCTCAAAGCGTAAGGCCGTAAGGACTGACCTCCCAGCTGTGGGTTTAGGTTTAGTTGCTTCCAAGCATCTGTGTAGAGATGGCCAATGAGCCTCCGTGGATCCAGCAAAGTTGCACCTTTGGCCAAGAGAAAGCGAAATCTTCAGGAACTAGACAACTAAGCTGTTCGTCAACCCCAATGGGACAATGTTTATGCTTTTTATGGGCTCGCTACTAGCTACATTATAGTAGGAAGCCAGAAATAAAGCCTAAACCCTAAGCCCTACATCACTGAACCCTAAACCCTAAACCCTATGTCGCTGAAGAACCTTGAGAAAGCCCCGGGGCCTGAATTCTAAATCTCATTCTATCCTGAGGGCCTGGTTGCACGCCTCAGCCGGATTTGGGTTCAGGGTTTAAGGGTTTAGGGTTTAGGGGTTTCGGGGTTCAGGTGTCTTCAGGGGCTTGGGGAGTTAGTTTGAGCTTTTTTTTGGAAACATATTCATAACATCGGTTGTGGATATATCAAGCCCTCAATGGCGGCGCCCTTGTTGCTGACTGCTACTGCTTGGTGCGCTGTATCTTAAACAGGACCCGAAGAAGGCAGGGCTCCATGCTCTGGAGTCTAGGTGCTTAGGGTTTAGGGTTTCGGTGTTGGGGGTTTTGGGGGTTTGGGGTTTAGGGGTTTGTGGTTTAGAGGTTTGGGTTCAGGGGTTTAGGGGTTAGGGTTCGGGAGTTTAGGGTTGAGGGTTAGGGGGATGAGAGGTGTTTCGGGTTTAGGGGTTTAGGTTCTAGGGGTTTAGGGTTTAGGGGTCGAGGGCTTCAGCACTCACAACAGGGTTTAGGGGTTTAGGGTTCAGGAGATTATGGGTTCGGAGTTTACGGGTTGGGGTTTAGTGGTTAGGGTTCAGGAGTTTAGGGTTCAGGGGGTTTAAGTGATATGGGTTTAAGGGTTAAGCGTTTAGGGGTTAGGGTTCAGGAGTTTAGGGTTTAGGCGTTTAGGGTTTAGGGGTTTGAGGTTTAAGGGTTTAGGGCTTATAGGGGTTTAGGCGTTTAGGGTTTATGGGTTTAAGGGTTTATAAGCAAAGCCTCCAGACCTTGGCATGAAATCCCTGATCTCTGGCAGAACCCAGCTGTAGCCGGGAGTTGATTGAGGCTCATAGGGTTCGGGGTTTTGGGCTCGAGGTTTAGATTTTCATGCAAGGCCCACCCACAACCCTACTTTTTGAGTGCTCCCTGCCCCGAGGATGCCATTGATAAAGCAGTGTCCTGACCGTGACCTTAAACTGCCATAACCAGCTTTTCGAAAGTTCTGATTATAAACCCTGCTACAGAATGTCTATGGACCCCGCAGTTCAAGGAATTGGCTATTCTCTTTCGACCGAGCTTATGGTTACGGTTCCAGATTAGGAAAAACCGCCACCCACGACAAAGAACCACAACTGAGGGTCTGGTTGATCTCTTAGCCTATCCTTGAACCCTAGGTGCACAATATGCTGAGGTTGGCCGTGAATATGAATTTTGTGTGTAGGCTGCCACATTGCAAGCAGGTGTTCACGGTTGGTTGTGGCATGGTGCCTATTATTCGTGGAGGCTTTGATAATCCGATATCGCTCCCAGGCACATTTGAACTTGTGAAGCGGTGTAATGGCGTTGAAAAGGTGGTAAACGATCCTGCGAGTTTCGGCGCTCACACTCGGACAATCCAGGCGAATAATGTGGTCATAGCTCGGCTGGGTGAGACTACTGCTTAGGATTAAGAGGATGTGCTTTGTTGGTGAAGTTGCGAAAGCATACATCTAAGATACAACATACAAGAAAAGAAACCAATTCAACAAGCGTCATTACAGAGGTAGGCAAACAATATGCCAAGTATGACAAATCTGCATGCAGAGAAATTGTACCAACGACTTGATGTCGGCGCATTGAATTGCAAGCACGGTTCAACAGGCGAAGTGACGACGGGCCCACTGACACAAACGGAAAAGCCGCTTGGCCATCACATTCGACCCGCGTGACTGTTCATGATCATCGAGCTGACAGTATGAAGAAAACCAAGGTGGTGGATACCAGACGAAACCGTGACTACTTGGTGCACTCAACGACTCGTATTTTGTCCCAACCTTTTAACCCCATATCCCTGCACATGCGTCGTGGCAACACAAAAGTTGATGCAGCAGGTCCTGTCCAGCGGCTGTGGGATGTTTCGATCCTCGGGCAACGCAACTGCAGAGCGTCATTGCTGCCGCAGAATGTAAGGTTCAGGGCAGTAGAGCGTGCGAAGAACACATGTACATGCCTTACGCTCTGTACCTTTTGCCCTGAAACATTGACATAAACCGCAACCCTTACACCCTATAGACCTGAAGCCTCTAGACCCCTTTTAAAGAAATCTTACCTTTTAAGACCCTCACCTATAGAGTTTGAAAAGAACCGATACACCGATTTGAAGAAACCCTAGTGACTAAGCTCATGAGGAAGCCAAGGTGCCACCATGTATTTCAAAGCCTCGTCCTCTCAGGCTCCGAGGACACATGCGGTCTAAAGTGCTTCTTATGTTGAGGGCCTTATTTCTAAGTGTTCGAACGCTTCAGGATTAGGGTTTAAGCTGCTGGGGTCTTCTAGGGTTAGGGTTTGGGGCCGAGGTGTTTTGGGGTCTAGGGCTGCGGGTTTTGTGCTTTCGGTAACTCGGTCCTGGTTTCCAACACATCCGCAAAGAATCATTGCAAATCTTGTGTTCTATACTCACCGGGAACAAATGGCACGGCCAGAAACTCCGAGTATGCTACCGCAACTCTAGCAACGAACGATAAAGGGGATGCAAACGGTGGTATATACACTCACTATCCACTCAGATTAGCTCAGACTTCTGTTTTGTCACAACTACGAAAAAAAGGATTAGGGCCAGGGTACAAAGTAGCCCACATCCCTACGCCTAACTCCAACTTTGGGCGCCGCCCACCCGCTATACATTGCTGCTTGGGGGATCACCGAGGAACAACAAATGTATCACGGACACTTCGGACTGGGTTGGCAGTTGGCAGAATGGACATGCTCGCATGTGAAACAGCTCTACACCCCGGACACGGTGCCAAGTATTTTGCCTGCTCACGGTCTTATCTGCGCAGTCGGCGAGAGACATCGCTCTGCATAGGCTCTAATGCACACACTAGACAGCTGTGCCGTCCCATGTCGACAGCAGTTCTGGTGAATCACGATCTATCTCGCGCAAAGCTTCAAGAAGGCCTCTTTACCCTTCAGGATGGTAGGTGTCGCTTCCATGAAATCGTTATTAAACCATCGGCTGAACTCCTGTGGTGAAACTGCTTTCGTGCCCACAATACCACAAGCTTTTGCCTTTGTGGACACCTCCATGAAGCCCCATGCCCGCTGCGGCAAGTCAGACGACAGCAGCCTTGCTTGTTTATCCGTGGATCTCACAAGCGGGGAATGGGTAAAATGTCGCTGATGCTGTTGAGTGGCGTTTTCGGACAGGACTTGCACACGACATCAGCCACCAAGCCGTTGTCGCGCAGGACAGGAGGGCTTTGTTGTTTATCTTCTCATATATCTTCCGCATCTCCTCCATATACGCAACGACCCGAAGGCAGAGGCCTGTCAGCCCTCTGGTGAAAGCAGGCGCGGTGCGGCGGGTGATGGTCTGCAAGCAATATTTGCTTACAACGTCAGCATAGAAAAACTTGTAAATTTTAAAGACTAGTTATAGCTAAACTGTTAAACCTCCTCCACCGCCCCTACGAAAGCTATAGCACGGATCCCTGCAGTTGATAAAACTGCTACGGCGCGACATGCTCCGCCGGGGGCTTCTGCTTCGGCTGCGCTGTACATGCAGATGCAGCTGGGCCACATGAGACATCTTGTACGGGTGATGAAAAATGAAGAGAGACGGAGAAAGCCAGGCAGCAATGATGTCAGATGCTGACGAAGCAGTCGTCAGGGCAAGGCTGGGTCTCGCCTGCATCGAACGCGAGACACGATGTTGCAGGTTTCTGCTAGAAGCTAAAGCCACTTAAAGCCAGCCAAACAGTCGTTGGAGGTGGCCCCGGAGGTGTCACGCGGAACACACGAACTTCAGGGAGCCTGCTAGCAAGCCGAGATGTTCGGGAGGCGAGCAGCCTAGACAAGAGTGCCGCATGGACAGGGACGGCCCACAGCAACAGCTTCAAGATGGTTCAAGTCTAACCCGCTCAAATGATGCTCGACGATCCGTGCTGACGGCTAGTATAAAGCCGAGTCGCTTCACGGAGCAGCAGCGACACGGTTCCCGTAGCCGGCAAAGTGTCATCCAAAGCATCCTGAGATGGCGAGAGTAGCGAAGAGCAAGCAAGGTCGACAGCAAAGCACAGCTGGCATCCGCAACGACAGGCGAGTGGCAACGGCCATGCTGCGGCAGTCTTCCTGAAGCACGCGAATCGGAGCAGGAGCCTAGAGCTCTGCCATGCCTTCCTGCTATAGGGCTCAACAACTATGTAAGCTTCACCAACTAGTCACGACCAGCAGCCATCAAGAGTTCTGGCGGTGTCCGGGGCGAAGGAACCTCAGATGAAGCATTAAATGGGCTAATTAGCACAAGAGGCTGCCTAAGCTTTCTCCGTAAAGCACGACGAGACGTCCTGAAGAATTCAGACGGCGGTGTCCGCGGCGAAGGAACCTCAAATGAAGCAGTATATGGGCTGCCTCAGTTTCACCAGTCAAGCACGACAGAAGCCCGCAAGAATTCAAACGGCGTCAAGGGCGAAGGAGAGTCAAATGGAGGAAGTAGGCGGAGAGGTCTGAGTTAGCAACCTCGCTGCACTGGAATTCAGCATAGGATCTGGGCTCTCCAAGGCTAAAATCATTCCTGCCAGGGCACTAAGATGCAGTGCTGAGCTAGGAAAACAAACACTCGCACTCTCCAGTCCTTCCTCGCCCTTTTTTCATGCCCAAGATCCTGCGGCGAGTATGGCTGGCGAGTCGCTGATGAGCTGCTGCAATCCTGGAAAGCATCATTGCAGCAGCCTTTCATCAAACAATGCTGCGAAAGAAATCTTGACGTGTTAGGACATGGGGCCTCCACTTCGGACTCCGAAGAGGAAGCGGAGGAGCACGACCCCGGCGAGGCATTAGAAAACTGCGCCGGAGCTCACGACCCTAAAGCAACTCATGCAGCAGGAAACGGCTGCAGGAAATTGCATGGTGCAAGATGTGTGCCCCTGATCCTGCGCGGATTAAAGCTTCGGCTTTCAACTTCTAGATGTTGGGTGGAGCTCGGGTGTTGACTCCAACATACTCCGACGGAAGGGGCTTCTCTGCTCGGCATTCCGAAGCCCCCCGGGGTATACATTATTCCAGGGTTGCAACTCCCCCCGTTATACACTTGTTGGGTGTGGAGATAAGCTCGCCATCCCCGAACGCCAAGGGCACGCGCATTGGATTAGCTCGAAGCCCTCAAACCTGAGGTGTCCAGTTATTTCGGGGACGATCGACCCGAGACCCTCGAGCTTTATGCACTTGGGTTCCGGTTTAGGGTTAAGGATTAAGGGTTTATGCTCTTATAATTACATCTCGGAACCTGTGTTGCCCAGAAAACTACTCTATGTGAATCTCTCTCTCTCTATAATATATATATATATATATACCTATCTGTATCTATGTATGTGTATATATATATATATAATGTTGACCCGTAATAAGGAAGCCTAAACAGGTCGGTTTTCTACAAATAAAGTTTCTACTCGCATACTCGCACAGCGTACAAGTAGGGCTTACGGTGTTTTCTAAGCTTTCAGCAGTGTCCTTGGAGGGAATGTGCTCCACGGAGTAGGCGAAGTGGTCCGGCACGAAAGACCATTCGTCGGCGAAGCAGAAAGTCTCGAAGATTTCGCCTTCACGGTGGTGGATTTCATGTTTCGACTCACACACTTGCACCAGGCAGGCATGGATTTAATGTTTAGGGCTTCGGGGGTGCTTAAGGTTTTAGGTTTTGGGGTTTTAGGTTTTGGGGCTAAGGAGTTTCGAACCGTGAGCCCGGACGACACCAGCCTGTCTTCAACAGCTCGTTGAAGGCGGGGTGGGTGACCTGCTGTAGAAAACTGATGAGGGCATGGGAGCTCGAAGCCCGGGGATGCGCTTTCGACACACTCCCTTCTTAGCAGCATGCTCAGCAGTGCAGGTCTCTGCCAGTATAAACCCTAAAACCCCCTAAACCCGAAACCCTCAACCCTAAACCCCTAAACCCAAAAACCTAAACCTCTCAACCCTGACTTCTCAACCCTTGTTTGCACAGGCGGGATTCACGCCCCAAACCCAAGACCTCAAACCCTCAACCCTTAAACTCTCGCTCTATCTCTCCCCTTTCCCCTCTCTCTCCCCTCCCTCTCCCTCTCTCCCTCTCTCAAGCTCTCTCCCTCTCTCTCTCCCCCTCTCTCTCCCTCTCTCTCTCTCTCTCTCTCTCTCTCTCTCTCTCCCTCTCTCTCCCTCTCTCCCTTTAAAAGGCCATGATGGGACTTTACTACAGTAATCCATTAAGGGCACCTTGGGGGTGGGCTGGGGGGGGATCTTGGCACTGTGGAGGCCTGTTTAAGTCGAACAAAGCTTTGAAGGTATCAAAATATTTTGAGGCTTTAGGGCTTTAGGGTTTAGGGTTTGGGTTTTTGGGGTTTTAGGGTTTAGGGTTTAGGGCTTTAGGGTTTTAGGGTTTAGGGTTTAGGGGGTTTAGCGGGTGTAGGGAGTTTAGGGTTTAGGGGGGTTTAGGGTTTAGGGTTTAGGGGGGTTTAGGGCTTAGGGTTTTATACACTTGTCTTAGCGGTTGGTAAAGGGGGTACTATGTCTAATCATGCAAACCTCTGCTATTTATCCACCCCTGTGTCGATGTATCTCTTCCATCTTCCCTGTATCTTTATATCGATTTATCCATGTATCCACCTATGTACCTTTTCTATCTCTCTAATGCAGGGGGGACGTAATAATTAGAATAGGGTTATGGGGGTTCCTTTTTATAGTTATAGCATAATGGACCCCAAACCCTGTTCT